ATGCGATTGTTGCTGCTGCTGCTGCTGCTGCTGTTGTAGTTGTAGTAATTGTTGTTGTTGCTGTTGCTGCTGCTGCTGCTGCTGCTGCAACGCCTGTTGATGATGCTGATGGCCGTGACTCGGGGGAGCAGGAAGCGTGGACGGCTGCTCAGGCTTGCCGGCCATGGTCCAGGTCCAGGTCCAGCAGCGCGGCGGATGACCCTGACGACACCCACGACATCACTGGCACGACGTGGCACGTAGCTCGCCTACGTGAAGACACCGGCGGCGGGTACTGCCGCATCCTCTGTGAGCCGGCTCACGATTCCTCACGCGCTCGACAATAACGATGAACCTTCTGCAGGTCCACGTAGAAGGATGCTCGCACTCTCACCGATGTCCCTGCTGTACGTACCGTTGCGTCTCTCCGCGTAGAGGCGTAACACGTAGCACGACATAATATTACGTCGGTCGCACGACGAATATCGAATTTCCTTTACCCCCCCTCGGGGACGGAGATGTTCCTTCCTACGTGGAAAAACGGGAAGGCGGGAATGGTTGGACTCTCCTACGTCGCGCGTCGTACTCGGTGCGTGTTTGGCGCGCGTAGTACACGCTGTCGCTGCTCGCCGCCGGTGCCGGTGCCGGTGCCGGTGCCGGTCAATGGCCGTCTAACCTCCTTGACGCGGCGGGGATTGCTGGGCATGGCGCGGGACGCGCCGACGATGTGTTTTCCCTCCCGCAGTTGGCTCGCCTTTCTTCTCCTTCTTCTCCTCTCAGCCTCCTTTCCTGAGGATAGACGGACGCTCGTCAAAATGTCGCAGCTCGCGACACGTCGTCGCACGCGAACGCGATCGGAATTCGAAACGCCGCACCATCGGGTGCCTCCGACTGCCGGCTGACGTTTTCCTCCGCCTCTCTCTCTCTCTCTCGTGCGCGCGCGCGCGCTCTCGCCCTCGCTCTCTCACTCTCTCTCTCTTTCTCTCCCCTGCAAAAGTCTCGCTTCCGCGAGTGACGTTTCACGTCAATTCCTTTTGCCGCGCGGGCGAGTCGTTACGTAGCATGATCGTGCACGAGGTGGTGGCGAGCGACGGCGAGCAAGGTCGCGACTGCTGCTAACTTGACTCGAAACTCTCATAGCCGGCGGGCCGACGCGCGTAGGCGAGCCGCTTGTTTATCGGCGGGGAATTACGTCTCGGAGCAAGCGGACAAGAGAGAAAGAGAGAGCCTTACGTACGTACGCGCGCGCGCACACATACACATACATACACACACGCACGCACGCACGCGCACACACACACACACACACACAAAAGGTCTCGCTCGCGACTCAAGGTGACGGCCCGTAATTGCCGCCACCTATTTGCTCCGCTCTGCTCCGCTCCGCTCCGCTCCGCTCTGCTCCGCTCCGCTCCGCTCCGCTCCGCTCCGCTCCGCTCCGCTCTCCGCCGGAGCGACGCGGTCCGCGGACGCGACGTATAAATGTATAATCGACGGGCCGAAGCCGCAGATTCTCCGAACTGCGCCGCGATTATATTCAACTATATTCACTACGGACAATTCGAAATTCGGAGCGCGCCGAGTTACTCGCTTTACGCTTACCGAGAGAGTCTCTCTCGAACTTGTTAACTGCACCCGGCGACCTCCGTAACCGGTGTCAACGTCACCGGTGTCAACGGTCCGCGCTTTACTCACAGCCACAACACATAACTCCGTTCTCGATCGAATCGCGTTATAATGCACTCCGCCGCCGAACGAACAAACGCAAAGACGCGAACATGCGCGCGCGCGCGCGCACTCAATTATGTCATTACGCAAAACGGCACACTGCTTGGGTATATCTCGCCTTTCGGCGACAACCGTGGAGAGGAGGAGAGAGGAGAGGATGAGGAAGGGGGGGAACCCTCGCACGGTCACGCGACAACGATCCCGACGAATGCGCGAGACTCATGGACTCACGATGATAACACAGCCGAACGACGTGCCATCTCCCTCGACACTGACTGCGTACGCGACGCGGGTTTAATCGCGCCGGACTCGGCTGAAGTCGCCTCAAGTCGGCGGCTCGATCGGTAATATGGCGCGAACGCGCACACCGTACAAAAAACACTTTTACGCCGCTGGCGTAACGATTCGGGTTAAATCGCGCACGGACGGACGAACGTCGTGTTATGACGCTGTGTCATCGTCACAGCAGCAGCAGCAGCAGCAGCAGCGAGTATCACGACCACCACCACCGGCACTCTTCCACCACCACCATCACTATCATTTCCCCACTGGCTCGCGTACCACTACTACTTGATGTTTTACTACTACTATTACTACCACCACCACCAC